AATGTTCACTCAGTCTTTTCTGATGTACAACCTTTGGTATCTGCAGAGCTGGAGATATAAAAAACACATTCTTTATTTTGTACGTGTACTTTTAATGTGCCCTATACATTTCTTCCCCAGACATATAAAGGCTGCTGTAACTTCACTTTTCTATATGTTAACTTTACTTTTCAAACAAGAGCAGCAAAAAATTTGAAGAATCACAACTGTAATGATGATTCTCTGAGACGTCTTAGAGGCTAAGAATTAGAGACATTAGAGGCTTTGATTGAGGAACTGTTTGATGTAGCCCAGGTTGAACAAACAGCCAAAGTCCTACAGCTGTTGCAGTTTCAGCTGCTTTATCATACAAATTTGGATTATTCTATTTGCATTAAATAATACCATACAAAGTCACTGACTTTCTGCTAAAGTATTACACTAATTTAAGTCCCAAGAATTTGATCAAGGTAGTATAACTTGCATGATCCATTCAGCTATGTCTAATAAAACACAAATATATTTACAAAATAAAATATCAGTCTGACTGTTAAGAGATCTGCAGTGTCTTCGTGTAAAAAGTAAACAAAGCTGTAAGAAAGGATATGTTTGAATAAATTACATATTTCTTCATAACCTTCATACCGTGCACCATGCATCATTACTGTGCGGGTTATTATCCACTATTATACAGATGTGAAGTTATTATCCACTTCTCATCTGTAAGCATGTGAAGTGCTTACATTTGTGAAAATGTAAAAGAGTGCAACGTTTTTTATAAATAACATGCCACTGTACAGTACACTGGTAGTGATAGCTTAGAGAAATTTGGGGGTACAGACATGTTGCTTTTTTCCTTTTTATTTTCCATTTAGAAAGTGTAACATTTATTCAACATGAGGATTATGTGTACTATTTTCTTAATATTATTTGCAAACTTCATGTGACAATATTAACTAACCATACTAGTTTCTACATATTTTCTCCTTCTAAAGGTTATCCGAATAAATATCCACAATGCTTTTTAAATCCTTTTTTTAAACCATTAAAGTAATAACCACTACTATTTACCTCTACTATAAAATGGAAAAATTAAATTAAAAGGTCAAATTTGAAAACCTCTGAATAAATAAAATATTTCTGCTTCAAGTTAAATTGATCTTAAAGCAGCATTTTCTCACTTTTCATGTTTTTCACTTCACATATCCGCATGTGTGTAATTTCAACTTCATTTTGAAATGTGGCTTTTTTCTTAATTCATTTTTAGATGTTAGTCACACATGCCCACAAGCACAAAACATGCTTGTGTGTAATGAACTTTAATCTTTCCAATCCAAAAGGTAATTTATACTTTATCACATTTGAATGACTATTACACACACACACACACACACATTGAATTTCTACTTAAATACACTGTAAAGGGTTAGAAGAGTCCTATCAGACTATAATTAAAGCAATCTTGGCAAATCTACCACAAATCCATACACATTGCCTTTATCAACAGACAGTTTTCCTTATCAGCATAGACTTGTGGGCGGCAGCAGGTACATTTATGCAATCAGACAAGTCCATAGTTAGAGCTGGTAATTGTGCTAAAGGATTTCTTCACTGATAGCGAGACTCTACAGTGAATAGAGTTCTTTCAATATAAAATCAGCATTTTATTCTAGACATGTACTTTCCCCTTAACTTACACATGTGAAGCAGGGTTTGGGCACCAGATTGTTGCATTCATCAGAATGCCTGATTAGCTCAGTAGGATGCAAACAGTGCAGGAAATGCAAATATCTGAGTTCAAGACCACTTGCATCTTTATTCTTGCCGGTCTTATCCTTTAGATATCAATGACAAAGTTTAAACATAACAAACTTTAGCATTTAGACTATGGTTTGTAGAATTTGCCTAAGACATCTAGGAAAATGTTTAGAAGTTGGCTTCGAAACTTTGCGTCTCAGAGGTGAAAAGCTGTTCCCATAAGGATATCTCCTGATGTCTAAATTGCACTGAAAAGTTAAAGTTCATCAGATTGGCTATCCATCTGGCAGAGGCAATCAAATTTTTATTTTATTTTTTTAAAATCTCCTGATATTTTAAAGTGTTCTTGATGCCGTGGACTCCAAATGGGTCCCCGGGGCTTTCTGGAAAAGAAACAGCCCTGCAGGATCACAGATCCTCCTTCATGCAGAGGGCACAAGATGCATGCGTCAAAGCCGCCTCTTGTGTTTGTTGTCAGGGCTCAGTGGTCTCAGTAGCATTTAAAATATTCTACACCATTTTGTGTTTTACCTCTCAAGTGTCAGTTCTTATGCTTGTTAAATATAAACACTAGAGCAAACTGGAATTTAGGATGAATATTCAGATCTATCTAACTACGGCGCTGATTGCCTCCAAACCTCTGTAACCTAGAAAAGAAAATTGAAGTTGATAGAAGTCAAGTCAAATGGGTTCAATGTGTGTATAACACACTGGTTAAAAGCCCATTTTTATGCTAGACTATTAAACTGACAATATATGAATCCTTATGTTATGAAATTAATTGATTTTTAAGGCATAAATATTTAACCACTTTTAAACAATGCTACAAGACGCTGTACAATTTTACATAAAAAAATAAAAGGAATTCGAAGGTACATTTCTTTGCCATTGATAGCATTGTGCAGCTGGTGCTGAAGTGATGCCTCCTTTTAAAGATTTTACAGAGCATCGAGACATTTCTAGGCTGACAGTCACACATCGAAGACACGTGTGCACATTCTGTAATTACAAAAACAAACGTGTAACAGCATGATGGTACTACAGCAAGGCTAAAAATACATTTCCTGTGTACTTCATGCACTTTTGACATGGTTGGGTGATTATACCAGACACTAACAGCTCTTGTAGTCCCTCAGAGGGTTTTTTCTGAGAACGTGACACACCAGAGAACCCCATTCTCCAGCATCATTAATGTGGTCTGAGGCTTGGGAGTATCAGTTGCACTTCTGCAGAACTACGGCTGCCCAGCAAATGAGCTTTTCATGAACTGGCAGGTGAAACACAAGGTGAGCTCTGTTACAGCTGGTAGTCATTTGTTGCTGCTGCCAAAATAATAAGCCTGAAATACTGCATCAAATAATGCATTGCACCTTTTGGGAGAGCCGACAGCGCTCAGCTGTAGTGGCTCTGATACTTTGCAACTAAACGAAATGCAAAAAAGTGTGTGAGTGAAATGGTTTATGTTTTTAGGTATACATTCGATAAGTGGTGAAGGTGATTTAAGGATTATTTATATCAACTAATATTTAATATAGAAGAGGCAAGATGAGACACAGCACGATGTTAAGTTTTAATTGGAATCGGATGAATAGCTGGACCTGAAATACCTAATATAGCTAATATTGGCTAAAACAAATTCAGTTTTAAAACAGTATATGCTGTACTGTGAGTGCTGATTGTTTTACCAAAGTATGCATGGGTTTTCTACCGGAACTCTAACTCCCTTCTTCAGTCTTAATAGGGATGATAGTCCAATTAATAGCTTAATATTGCTTAAGTACCTCTAAAATATCTCCTAGAAGCATAGTTTCTTAACAAAACAAGCATATCAGTAAATTACATAATCATGTATTTGTGCCCTCCCTGGGCCCTTTACCATGGTACAGCTGAAAGATAACATATTTTATTGTAGATTAACAAAAAGGAGCAAAATAAAAATATTTTTGCATTACATAACTATCACTACATTGCTTCTATCTTTAAAGTAATGGTAGAAGCATAATATAAGCATAATATTACAATATAATTAGTGCTAATTATGTTGTCTATAGAAATCCCATGTTATAAAATAATCATATTCGTTGCAGAAGAATAGTATTAATACTACGAATTTAGATTAAACAAGCTGATTTAAAATGCTATGACTGAGATATCTGTTTTTTGAACAACGTGACAGATATGCCATTTACCAAAGATTAATAATTAATAATTACAGCATTTTTCTTTTTTAGATATGGTTGCATCAGCAGTTCTGGAAGTGTGAGTAACAGTAAAGAGGCTGTTTCCTTATATTTCAGGTTCATTTCTAACATAACCTTTAAAGATCTTGGAGGTGAGCCATTGATATAATCCTCTTTTGTTTGATCGGGTTGTTTTTCTTGTCCCTGTATTGCTGCCATAATATGTCGTCCCCCAACAAACAAAAGGAAGAGGACAAACACACAGATAAATGGAGCTACCAGCAGTGGCAGTGAGGTGACACAAGAACATCAGCAGGGCGAGGAATGCTGTATATAATGTCATATTCATAATATGACATCCATTTATGTCATATGACTACTGATTACCTATTTCTCATAAATAAGTGACACAAACAGAATAAATTTAAATCTGGGAAATATGTAGATATTTTGGTGATCATATTATGCTTATATTAATAAAAACACTTTGACTTTTTGGGTGATGCACAAACCGGATTCTGTGAACAAGTTCTTCTTGGATTAGGCTGGCTAGCAGCAAGAAGAAAAAAGAACTGCATGCCCCAGGTGCTTTGTCCACATGCTTTTTCCCTCCACTCTGTCAAAACACTGACTCTGCCTGTCCTGATAAAACTTTGTCTAGGGCGAGGCAATCAGCTGTGGGGCACAAGCTACAAACCTTTTGTAATCTCAGCCTCCTCTGCCAACAATCACGGCAGGCTGAATGTCCTGAGATAGGCCTGCTGAAAATCACTTCCCATGCAACCATCTAGTATTTGCTCTGTTTTGACAGTGCAGGGTATAAGACAAAGCAGTGCGAATCGGTTTGAACCACGGTTGTATGTGCTTATCTTTAACAGCCAGAAACAATGATGAAAGTCTGCAGGTCTGCCACCTGATAAAATCTGACCAGCTGTGCGATTTTCTAGATGCATTGAGGCAAAGTAAAGAAAGATTTGAACATTTGCAGAGAAAATTGTGCATTTTTATAATCTGGGAGCATAAAGCAAGACTTTTCTGTACGTTTTGGGAGCTAACCTCATTACTTTACATTTTCCTCCCCAGGTAATGTGTTCGTGGTTAGTCTGGCATTTGCTGACCTTGTGGTAGCCTTCTACCCCTATCCCCTGGTCCTTTATGCTCTCTTCCATGACGGCTGGGCGCTTGGAAACACTCAGTGCATGGTAGGACCACATCAGTCATCTCTTCACTTTATTAAAAGACAATGACTTTAATGAATAGTGTCGAAGACAGACAAAAACATCTCATTTTTTCTATCATTTCAGGTCAGCGGTTTCCTTATGGGGCTGAGTGTCATTGGCTCCATCTTCAACATCACTGGGATTGCAGTGAACAGATACTGCTATATCTGTCACTCCTTCTCCTACAGCCGACTGTACAGCTACCGCAACACGTTGCTGTTTGTTGCCTTAATTTGGGTGCTCACTATTGTGGCCATCGTCCCAAATTTCTTCGTTGGTTCTCTGCGCTACGACCCACGGGTCTACTCCTGCACCTTTGCTCAGAATGTCAGCAGTTCCTACACTGTGGCAGTGGTAGTGGTTCACTTTCTGGTTCCCATTGCAGTAGTGACCTTTTGTTATCTTCGCATTTGGGTTCTTGTGATTCAGGTAAGTCCTAAAAGCTTTTTTTTTTTTTTTTCCAAATTCAAAACGTGAGAGAATATGTATGTTTCACATTTTACAAGGTTTAATTAAAAGACACATTCATTGATTAGTCATCTGTTAGCTGCCAAAATACACAAAAAATTACAATATCTGATCAATAAGATTCCACTTGGACTGTGGTGGGAGTCCAAAAGTCCAAACTGATTCATATGGCGATATCCTCTTTCAAATTTTACAATGCATACATTACAACTGGAAGGGGTACTGGTACTTGGTTTTCAAACTGGAATACAGTAAGAATCTTAAAATTGTAGTTTGCAAATGTATCATTACCCCTGGAACATATTATTTTTGTAAAATCAGATTTTACTACAATTACTACAATGCAGTTTGGATTATTCTGTGCTATTCTGATGTTCTGAATAATATTCGAAGATTGAGAAATGGTTTACAGAGCAGCTGTACAGAGCAAACTACACACAGATATAGTCTATTTACTGATTAGGTGACATTTGAAGGCTATATGGCTATTTTTTAGGAGCATCAGAGTTACGTGGCTAAATACAGTCAAATTTTACACCATGATTTTTAGCTATTTTGAAAAAATGTTTATCATGTCCTTCTGCTTCTCAGTTGCACATTACTTTCTTTTGGTCTATCGCATAAAATCCTATTAAAGTACATCAAAGTTTGTGGTTTATCACTTTTTAGAATGGAAAAAAAAGACCTGTGAAGCATTTAAAATCCCAGTAAATCTGTGCACAATATGTTATATAAGCTTATGTATTTATGAGTAAATGTGTTATATAGGCATGTCTTTTTTATGTGTGATCTATAACTTACAGTCTAATTTATCCCTTTATAATATCCAGGTGCGACGCAAAGTAAAGACTGAAGACAGCCCTCGTCTCAGACCAAGTGACTTGCGGAATTTTATCACCATGTTTGTTGTATTTGTCCTGTTTGCAATCTGCTGGGCCCCACTCAACTTGATAGGATTGGCGGTGGCTATAGATCCAACTCGCGTGGGTCCCCACATCCCCGAGTGGCTTTTTGTTGTAAGCTACTTCATGGCCTACTTCAACAGCTGCCTGAATGCCATCATCTATGGTTTACTCAACAGGAATTTCAGGAACGAGTACAAACGCATCGTCACCTCTGTCTGGGTGACGCGGCTGTTTGTGACGGAGACGTCGAGGGCTGCCACGGATGGCAGGAGCATGAGGAGCAAGCAATCACCGCCCCCGCCGCTCAACAATAATGAGTCAGTCAGAGACCGTGCAAACAAAGAATGAACCTTGGATTCTGGAGGGTTTCATGTGGTAATTCCTGTTTTTTTTATTTTTTTTATGTGATATCAAGGCAGTTGTGCAGCTATAGAGTAACAAGAAACTAATGAAACTGGGAACCGTGGCTTTGTTTCCTAATTCACAGCAGAGATTTGAACACTTACGAAACACACAAAGCTTACGAAAGTCTCTGAAGTGCTTTTAGAATTAGCCCATCTTTTAAAGCGACAACAATGTGTGTTGTCGGAGTCGTTCACATCCACAAAGCAAAAAGCCCAGCATTGCAGTTTCATTATGGAATTATTACTCTTGATAGACTGATTGGTACTATATGATTACAATGAAAATGTGATATCCTTTAACTTCTGCTGCTGTAGACGTGTTTCACAAAACTGGGTAAGCACCACTAGTAAACACATTTTTTAGTAACTTCAAACGCCTCAAGTAATTAAACTCGCCTCACCTGGAAGCTTTACAAGGAGCTTTTCATAACAAAGATGGGAGAATGACAGATAGCAAAGTCTGTCATTTTATTATCAGAGTTTTACATGTTGGCAGTTATGTGGTTAGATTTACACTCTCAACCTAAATGCTGCAGTAGCATACCTTATACTGCCTAGTTTGATCGTCTTTGCACTAAAATAACAGGAAAAAGAACTTAGTAAAAAAACAACTTAGTAAATGAATTCAGGATATTAATTAAAGTTTGTTTGACAAGTTAAATCTATCATCAAGTCACTTCATAGGTGTTTTTAATCAATTTCATTTTTTATATATTTTGCATGTGATGTGGCATGTGGAGGAAACCGAACTCTTGATGCTGTTCCAGCCTACAAAACCCACAGTTTTCAGCTACTGTAATTTGATCTATAGACTTAGCAGAAAACTACATACAGTAAGAGGCATAATTTTGTAAAACATGATTTATATCATTATTTGGTTAATTAACATAAGCATGTGACTTTATTATATTTTTTATTAACTTATCAGTTTATAAAATTAAGTATAATACCGCCTGGCCACCAAAAAAAAAAAAAAAAAATGGTCACACACTAATATTTTGTTGGACCGCCTTTAGCTTTGATTACAGCAATGAGCTTCTGCAGTATCACAAGCTGTATTTTCATCCCGTGTTGTATTAATTCTTCACTGATTGCACTGACGATGGTCGAGTCTGGCGACTGCAGCACATCCCAAAGATTCCTAAAGGTGTTTGAGTCTGAAGCCTGGTGGCAAATCCATGTGTGAAAATGTCTCATGCTCCCTGAGATCTTCTGTTGTTTTTCTGCAATTTGATTTCACCAAACGCCGATCGTGATCATTCCGGATTTTTTTCCCAGTCACATTTCTTCCTCACAGACAATGGATCCCCACTATCTTTCCAGTTGTTAATAATGGACAGTTCTTAACCAAATTTTAGTATTTTCTGAAATCTCGTTGGCCGTTTTATCTGCTTGATGCACGCCAATGATGTCACCCATCTCAAACAGACTGATATCTTTTCCACGACCACGGGATGTGTTTGTCCACATGGTTGTTTAAGAAATGAGAAGCAACTGATTGCACCGGTTCGGGTTAAATAACTTGTTGTCAGCTGAAACATAATCGCCCATTCAGTAATTATTCAGTAGGAGGCTTGTACCTATTTGGTTAGTTAAATCCAGGTGCCAACTTTTTTTTTCTTTTTGGCCAAACAGAGTAAGTAGTATAGCTGTTTGAAACGGCTAATTAGCTAACAATCAGGTTAAAGTAACATTTAAATACCTACAAATAAAAGCAGAATTCTATTGCGAAAAAGAAAAGATTGTGTAATTCAGCAAATGATTACATCTAAGGTTATTATGCATGGGCATGTCAGTGAACCTTGCAACACTATTGGTTCTCATGAAGGCAGTCGATAGTCTTCTTGGCTTCTCCTCTATCTTTCTCATTACTTTTATCAACTCCTGGGAGGTACAGCAGAGATTAAACACTTTGTTTTCCCCCCAAAGTGGATTGTGCGTGAATCATAAGCTTTAATAATTTAGACATCAAGCATGTAAAATACAAGCTATGTTGCGCACAGTTACTCAAGCTTGTCTGAATTATTTCCATTTGACAATGACTTGTTCTTGGAGAAACATTTATAATATGTGCTTTTATTAATCATTATCAAAACAGTATTCAACAGCAACACAAAACCAATGTACTCGCCAATGATTATCAATTCTTGATCATCGTTTTAAAGTTCTGCTTTTCTAACATCTTCTTATCTTATTGGAAATAGCCAGCTGAATATAAGTGTACTGTGGTTGTTTTCAGGTTGGCTGTAACTTTTAAGTAAAGCTGAATTAGGACAAAAAGTCCCAAGAAAATACCACCAAACCTTTGCACCATCGTCAGGTGTACCTGACCGGTACAGGTCAGGATGGATCAACGCTTTCCTGTTGTTTGTGCCAGATTGTGACATAAACAACACAGTACCCGATTGTTGAGACTAAACTAGGGGCTCAACAAAACATTCAATAGTCTTACAATATGTTAATTTTAAAGGGCAGTGCATCTGCTTAGACTGTTGTCTCAGTTTCCAATTCTTAACCGACAGTGGCATCTGGTAGGGCCTTCTGCTGTTGTGGCCCATCAATTTCAAGCTTCAGCGTATTCAGAGCCAGTGTGCCACCTATTCTACTCCTTCCATCATCCACACAACACTTACTGGATGCTTTGTCTTTTTTTTTTAATCATTTTGTTTGCGCTTTAGGGATGGTTGTGTGTGAAAACCTCAATAAATCAAAAGTCTTTTAAATAGTTAAAACAGTCCGTCAAGCATGGCACATTTCAAGTCACTCACACCCATTTCGTCCTCAATCTAATGCTCAGTTTAAAATTCAACAAGCTGCCCAAACCATGTTTAGATTCCTAAATGCATTGAGTTGACACCATGTGATTGACTGATTCTCTATCTCTCTTAACAAGCAATTTATTACACAAGTGTATCTGATAAATTGACTGTCTCAGCTTTAACTTTCAGCCCCAAACAAGGGGCTATGGCTCTGGTAGACCCAAACTTCTCTTAGTAACACTTGTAGAAGATTCCATGTTGGATGGATGAAAGCCACTGGCAGGGACAAGACCTTATTTTCCTCCAGTTTGCCAATGCGTAACTCTTGCGCAACATATTTTACAGTACACCATAGTTATAATTTGAACAAATCTGAGTTTATTTGAAGTAACAAAAAATTTGTATGCCTCCATATTTATAAATAAGTTAAAAGACATTCCTTAACAGGAAAACACTGCAGTCATTTTTGGCATTTTGTGTTTGGAAAGTCAGACAGAAGGACAGAGACTTCTCATTAAAGAGCTCTGTGCACTGATGTCAATCACCAACTAAATCTAAATGCAATAACTATCTTTTAATTTCACCAAAAAGCCCAGTGCAGCTGCCTGGGCATGATTCTTTATGCACACCAACACATCACTATGCAACTCAAATGCAGTGTTTGTCACAGTTCAAGGGATTCACAGCGGTCGGTGTGAACTGATAACGGAGTCCATCAGCTTAGGACAGCTGTATTTCCAGATGTCAGAGCAAATCACAGATTTATCATGAAAAAGATATGAATGATGTTGCTGGTTTCCAGTCTGTGTCATATGAAAAAGAGGTCAAGATTTGTCCTGGTCTACTAAGTTAGTATATATTCCAATCAACCGTCCTTAGCGACATGCATATTGGTTTCATACAGTATATTGGTTTCCTCTGCATCCTACATCATATGCTGCACAATATGTAGAAGTCTCTTTCAGTTTGAGTTCTTACTCTTAATTCTAATACTTATATGCAAAACATTAGGCTTTCATTTTAAGATCTTTTTTCTTTTTTCTTTTTTTTTAACAAACAAAACCAAACTATATTACCAGGGATGTAGTATTTCAGTCCTTTCACTGTGGATTTAACACAAAGAAATATGATCAGCTATTTAAGGAAAAGTGTAAGGAGTTGGTCTCTTTGTACTATAAAATTTGACCAACTGATATTTATCACCTCTTTATCAAAGAGTGATTCAAACAACTTGGATTGTGGCGAACATACAGCTCATATCTGTATTCCCATCTCAGGGTGCCTATTGAATATTTTGTTGTTATACACACTTGTCCAAACATTCGCAGTTGATCAGCTGTAGTATAAGGGAGTCTGAAGACATTTAAAAGGAATATTTTGTAAATTAGTGTCAGTGTGGTTTTTAACTGTTGTATATTGTTATCGGAGATGTATTTAAAATGTGCTTTTTAAAAAAAATATCTCAGTAATCCCTACGCAGTTAAATGTATGTTCTTGAATATTACTTAACCTCTCCTCCCATCATACTGCATTTGCTAAGTGCATCTAAAACATGTCTTGTACATTGGGCCCATTCATCGTATTTGTATAATGTAAATCGATTTATATATAAAAAAAAAATATATCTCTTAAAATGGAAAGTTTGAAAAGTAAGGAATGGCAAAGTAAGTGTGTAAAACATGTTCCTGTGTTATTTTACTTTAAAATGTAAATTGCTTTTCAGAACATCTTACATGCTCTTAAACAGGGTGAAAAAAAAAAAAGTGGAAGCCATAGGTAAGAATGTTACTTTGATAGATCCAGAGCTCACAGCATTAGTGAAGCAGAAAAGATGTGAAGCAATTGTAGTTGAATGAAAACAGTGACTTTTGTGATACACGAATGGCTAAAAACAATCTGTTGGAAAATATTGCTTTGTTGAAAAGTTGGGAGTAGATCGACATCAGCGGTTACGTCAGAGGTAAGAGAAAATCATTGAAAAAGTGATGCTGCTACTTTATAATGACACACTACAGCAGCTACAGAATGTTTTAGATGCACTTTGAGGGAGCTAAGAGATCAATCTAAACCAAAGAAATGTGTATAGATAAAGGAAATAAGATGTACATACTCTACGTCATGACATTATGGGGAGAAATCTGAAAAAAAAAATAATTCCCCCATAATGTCTGTTTTATTTGTTTGTTGTTTTTTTCAAGAATACTGCCTTACAATTGATAAAATTGTGTCAAAGTTAAAAATATGATGGCAAGTGCCATAGTTCCTTGTATGTACCAATTTAGCAATTTAGGTTTGCTTCCATCCTGCTTTTTTGTGACACCCTCAAGACAGTTGTCTATTAAATGTGTTTTCTCTCTGCAGTTTTGTGCAGACACTTATATGCTGAGCTTACAGGCATGAGATGCAATTAATGAACCAGAGGAACAACTATTACCTTTTTTTTCTTCTGTATTTTCTATCTGTGCCCTTTGATAGAATGATGTATTTGTATTGATGTTCCTTTAAAGTGCGTTCTATGTCAGCACGCTTACTTTACTGGATTAATGTATGTCATCTCAACAAATGGTTTGCCAGCTCCAGTGTTCCGTTTGGCTAGTTGTCACTGCAATGCTGTATCTCACCACATGTAGTAAAGCACAAGCTTTTCTCAGCTTTGGTTTTAAAATACATTTTCTCTGCTGCAAGTTCAAATAGATGATTACGTTCCGAAAAGTTAAATAATGCATCTTTTGTTGATACACTGCATTGTAAGTGCATCCGTACCATTTTACTTTTTCCACATCGTGTCACATTGCAATCTTAAACTTCAACGTATTTTTGTTGGGGAAATTTGCATTGTTCAAATAGAACCAACAGAAGTCCCATTTGCAGTTTGGCATAAGCCACAAAGGGACACTGGTCAGAAGAAACCAAAGCTGAGCCTCTACACCAGTGGTCTTAAACTGCATTCCTCAAGGACCAGAATCCTGCAACTTTTAAATGTGTCTGCTGGCTTGCACACTTGAATTAAATGGTGAAACTGCCTTGTTAGCATGTAGTCAAGCTCTACAGAGCTCTGCTAATGGACTTATATTGGAGCCAGGTGTGCTGAAGCAGAGAGACATCTAAGGATAATTTGCATTGAGAAATGCAATATGAGTCCACTGTTCTAAACCTACATGCAAAATGCAATGTGTGGTGGAAAATTAACACTGCACTTCTCCCTGAACAACAGTACGCCCGTGAGAAAGCATGGTTGGCAGCATCATGCTATTATTCTTTTCTTCGCCAGGTACAGGGAAGCTGATCAGAGTTTATTGGAGGATGGATGGAGCTAAGTATATGGCAGTGCTGAAATACAACTTGTTAGAGACTGAGAAGGACTTGAGATTGGTGCAGAGTTTCACCTTTCAATAGGACAATAACTCTAAAAACAGTTTCAATTAAATGGTTTGAATCAAATGCTCAAATGCAAGAATGACCCAGTCAAAGTCCACACATCAATGTATTGCAAAAACTGTCCAAAGACTTGGAAATTGAGGCACACATGCATGTTGTATCAAATCTAAGTGAGCTTGAGAGATTTTGCAAATATCTACATACAAAACCCTTTAAACCTCTGGATGTACAAAGACAGAAGACACTTACCCCAAAACTC